TGAACACACTCCTTCATCAGCCCATAATAGGGTTTATAGTTTGTTTTCTATCTCTTTTTCCAAGCGACACTGATTTCTTTCAAGGAAAAAACTTATTATGTAATCCAAAGCCATGTTACTGTTTGACTTATGTTCAAGTTGAGTAGAGCATACATACACTGACTCAATACATTTAAGATAACTCATTTGTCGTTGCCTTTGTGGCTACTGTAAAAGAGTGATAACAAGATGATATTTTTTGAGCTTGTAAAGGGAATATTCTTAAAACCATCTATCTGAGAAAATATTTTACCTAACATAATAGCAGAGAAGAGCAGAATACTATGAAAGACACTGATATTTTTTTTTTTTTTTTGGAAAGTTAAGTGCATTTAAAGTTGGTTTGATACGTTCTCTTTATTGCAACTTAAGGGCCATCTAGTTACCCAGTTACACAAGGGCCACTAGTTACTCAGTTGAAGCACTGTCCTGTGTTACCCTCGTGAAATAAAGTTGACTGATTGATTGATTAAGGTCATTTGATGTAACGTTTACACAGTTTGTTATGTCACCATTTCATTAAGTTCACAAATGTAATTGTGAGACTGTCTTTGGTGTAGTGATTGAGCCTAATAATCCCAGACCCCCTTCTCCCATGTTAAGTGAGAGAACTAGTAATTTATTAGGGGTAAGAATTCTTTTGTCAGGGGGTTAAAATTAAGGCCTCTTTTCACATAAGACCTTTTTCTGTGATAGCTGATCCTTACCCAACCAAAATTATACATTCTATGTAGTAAAGCGTGTGCCTCTGTAAAAAGAATTTTTAAGTCTTAGGTGAAGAAACTTGCACAAGTAGACTACATTTTTCAATGGATACCATTAGTAAAGGAAATAGACCACTTTCTTAAATGGCTGCGGCATTAGTAATTCTTTAGTTCAAATTTAAATTAGCCCTTCTGGGCTCGCTTGAGATAATGTCTTCTTTTGAATTTTGTACTGGAGAACGAGGCCAGAAGGGCAAATTTAAATTTAAACAAAAGAATATTAATCCGGCCGCCATTTATGAAAGTGGTCTATGGGACAGAAGTTCCATCAGTAAAGCAAACAGACCTCTATCCCTCAAGTCTGCCCTACTTAGTGAAGGTACAACTCTCCTTAGGGAACACTTTCCATCCTAAAGGGGTGTTTTTAGAGGGGATTCACTCCACTGAATTTCAAGCTCTACTTGATGTACATGATCCTGAAATTGTTCTGGGAACTGAATCAAAACTCAATCCGGATATTCCATCTTATTTAATCTTACCGCCTTCATATTCAGTCCTCAGAAGAGAAAGAAACGCGTTTGGTGGAGGCGTCTTTCAAGCAATTAAATCAGACCTTGCAAGTATCGAAGAGTCGAATTTTAATGTGGATTGTTGCGAAGCCCCTTGGTCCTCTCAAAATTGCAAATAGGAAGACATACATCTCGTCTTTTATAGACCACCAAACTCTTCCACTGAGGTACTTGACCATTTAGACGACTCTTTTAACAATGTTTTCTTGAGAGTTCCAAACCACCCCAATATTATCATGGGCGGTGACTTCAATTTAGTTGATATTGATTGGAACCAGGAGATTCCTTCTACAACCAATCCTGCGTCTGCATCTCAGCATAATAAATTCATGCATATACTTGATGACTACTCATTATCCCAGCACGTTAAAGTTCCAACTAGACCTGCATCTGGGAAAACGCTCGACCTACTTCTATCTACTTATCCAAACAGTGTCTCTAATGTATTTACGTCTTCCGGCTTGAGCGATCATCTTGCTGTAATTTTCGAGATCAACTTGAAACCTCTTCGCTCCACTAAACCTCCACATAAAGCTTATATTTATAAAAAAGCTAATTTTGATGGTTTAATGGACTTTATATCTAAGTCATCATCAGAATTTTTTGCGTCAACGTTTCAACAAAGACCGTTTCCAAACGCGATTTCATTCTCACCCAAGTCCTTGTCAACAATGGTTTGGGAATGTACGCAACATGGACCACTATCGCCTCTCTTCTAAACATGACAATGGCGATTTCTTACTTTCACGGAGTAGCACAAGATATTGGCTGTACGATTGCCCTCTCTATCCTCGCTGTGGAGTTAATCGTTTGGTTTGCGCTTGAGAACACGATTTTGGACAAATACACCCGATACACCTTGACTGTCTACCCTGTGGTGGTCTGGGCGCTCTCCGCCAGCATCAGCAAGAACTGGGATGCTGCTAAACGAAACTCCGTCATCTCAGTGGTCCTACTCGCTGTTGCCTGCACTCTACTTGTTGTTCGTATCGTCATTGTGGTGTGGAGGGCAACGAAAAGTGCAAAACGTCGATTGAAGAATGGTTCCATCCTATTAAGCAACAGTTAAATGGCATCGTCCAACTCTGGGACAGGGGTGGAAGTGAGGGATAGGCTAATAAGCCCCATCTCTCCCCTCTTGCCTATTTCATTTAAAATTTTGGACGTTTCTTTGAAAAACTGCACTCTTAATCATAGGTTTTGTTCTTTCAAAGCTTAAGGTATGAACAGGAGTGAGGCTAAGGGTGACCTTGGTATCATACAGATGTTGCTGCTTTTCAAGTGTAAATTACTTAGTTAATATGCTAAATAGATGCTGGTCTCTATCACAACAAGGTCACCTTCAGCCTCGCTCCAAATCAAAGGCTTGGCAACCAAGTGCTGAACTGTAAAATGGTCTATTGAACAAAATAACTGAATTTGGCAATGAAGTACAGATTCAAGGAAACCCTCATTTCAGAAAGCTGTTTTGTTGCTAATATTTGTTTTGAACACACTCCTTCATCAGCCCATAATAGGGTTTATAGTTTGTTTTCTATCTCTTTTTCCAAGCGACACTGATTTCTTTCAAGGAAAAAACTTATTATGTAATCCAAAGCCATGTTACTGTTTGACTTATGTTCAAGTTGAGTAGAGCATATATACACTGACTCAATACATTTAAGATAACTCATTTGTCATTGCCTTTGTGGCTACTGTAAAAGAGTGATAACAAGATGATATTTTTTGAGCTTGTAAAGGGAATATTCTTAAAACCATCTATCTGAGAAAATATTTTACCTAACATAATAGCAGAGAAGAGCAGAATACTATGAAAGACACTGATAT